GGTGGCCTCTGCGCTGGAGGCTGCGGCGGGGGCGCTTCCCGCCAGAGGAGGCTCCGCGGAGTCGCGGGTCCCTCAGCTCGGTAGTAGTAATAGTAAGGCTTACTCCTGCACGCCGGAGCGCGGAGCTCCGAGGATGGCCCGGCGGTCGAGCCGTTCTCCCGGGCGCGGAGTTCCTCCTCTCCTCCCTTCTTTCCTTCCTTCCTTCCTTCATCAAATTTATACACCGCCCCTCTCCCTATCAGTGGCTCTAGGCGGCTCACGAAGAAGAAACGTAAAAACATTCAAAAGCTACGGAGCGCATTAAAAAGAATACTCTTCCTGCCCAGCTCCTAAGCATGAGTTATTCCTTCCCGGGGCTGCTGGAGACATACCTCGCCCACTCTTCTCAGCCAAGAGACCTTGGCTATTGAAGACCCTCGGCCCTGAATCTTTTTTTTTTTTTAAATTCATTTCATTAGATGCCTCAGCCTTGATGGGAATTGAAATGCTGGTGATACAGATAGTGATAACTCTCCTTTGAGAGGGGCTCTGTACAAAACATTTATTTCGGACAGACACATAACTATGAGTTTAAACTTTCTTGAACTGGCCCAGAGTGAGGTTCTGTTTTGACCCGATTCCCTATTTTCTTCCAAGAGGGAGTTTGACTGCATAAAAGGTCCAATTTCCTTGTTTCTTTAATCAGATCTTAGAGGATTATTTCATGATGGAGGAGGAAACAGAGGAAGAAACCCTGGTTGACAAAGCAGCTGAAGAGGATGAAATTGACCTTTATATTAACTTAACATTCACTTCAGGTAAAACGTACGGAAACAGCGAATCCCGTGCTCTCCAACTGAATTAGGAGGAGCTTGTAATAAAATAGAACAGTAGAATGAAAGTGATCCAAAGCTGTCACAATTGATTTTTTATTTTTAAATAATATGAATAAAGTATAGGACAGAAAAATATAAAAATGCATTTTGAAAAAGGTACAGATAATTATCCCCATTGAATCTGAAAATGAACCTACTTGGTTAATGCAGTACAAATCATTAACAGTATGAACAGTAAACACTATAGTCGTTTATAGGTCAAGTTGAAATAGAGTTCTCTGAAGAGAAGACCCGAGTCTCAGATGTGATACAAAACTCTATATGGTGTTACAGTGCAAGAATGGTTTCCAATTCTGCATCAGATTTATTCTTTATGTAGGAAGTTCCATAAAAGGTGTTAATGGCACATGTATTAAAATACCTGCATAAATATCACGAAAACATGGCTGATGCCAATTGGGATCTCCTAGTTAGAAGTGTTTGCATGATTCCTCCCTAACCGGACACCTGCGCCCAGACATTGCAAGAACTCAGCCAGCTTGAGAATATATCTGGAGGGTACCAGGTTGAAGATGGATAACTCCTCTTCCAAATTAAATATTAGATGAGTTCACACAGCACGTTTAACCTAGTCACTAATACATTACACAAACTAAGCCGCCTACTTAAGTTTGTGTAATGTATTAAACCAGAAAATAAGTAACTTGGGTAGATTTGTGTGGTCTGCAAAGGGTCAGAACAAACCAAGCTTAACATATGCAAATGCTGCTGTTACATCATTTTACGTACTAAAGTATTGTGACTGCAGCCATTCTTTACGAGCGGGACCCCTCTGGAGATTGTCAAGTATATAAGGAGGACATTCTTCCACCTCTTTAGCAATTTTGTCCTCTGTGGTATAGTAATATCCAACAAAACCTCAAATTTGTTAGTACAGTTGTGAGGAACACAGAAAATAAGACAGCTTGAGCCCAGGACCTTTGTCAAGTCAAATCGCTTATTTAGAGTGAGATTGTAATTATGTAAGAATTGTACTGCAGTTACAGACCTCCTCTTTTAGCATAAGGGCATTTCTGCATTGACTTAGTTGTCTGTTCTCTTGGTTTGCAAGCCTACTCTGAAGATAATGGCGCAAAGGCCCTGACAACAGAATCACAGAAAGTGGCTGTGGTTGACCCCGGGGAAGGGGTGGTGGTCGTTGCT